TAATTATACATAATTATAACTATGTAATGGTTGCAAAAAATAGAAAAAGATAATATAAAGCAAATAGCATCAACAAATTCATATTTTAAATACAATAATTTTATTATTATTGTACAGAATTTATACAAGAAAGATCTTTACTGGAGACAATAGAAATTCAAAAGCGTGATGAAGAAATACAACAGCTTAAAGTACAGTTAGCATCTTATCAGGAACAGAAGGAAAGTGAAGAGGAAAGTTTTGTAGAAGAAATTAAGAAATTACAGTCAGCAACTGATAAAGATGAAAGTAAATAAAATTTTGTGCACTTTTATGAAATTATAATCATAGTGAGAGATAAGATAGTACAAGGTTTGCTATCACAAAATGGAAAGTTAAAAGGTATTTTTGCTTCAAGTCAGAAGCTACATTGTTCAAAATGTCCACTGACAGGAAAATTGTCAGAGGCAACAAAAATGATGGAGCAACTGCAAAAAGAAATGAAACAAAAAGACCAGACTATGCAGCAAGAACAAGGTTAGTCTATAACCAAGAGTTCATATCTCAAAACAATGCAAAACATCACTAGCGGAGAGTAAAAAGGAAATACAGTTATTACAAGAGAAAATAACAGCAATGAACCTACAACAAATTGAAAGGGATAAACAAGGGCAGGGTAATTGATAGTTTATGCAATTTTTAAAATGAAATGTCTAATAGAAAAAGAAGGAAAATTGATGCTGAAATTTGAGAATTTAATGACAAGTAGGTTTTACTTGACAAATTAATTTTTTATAATTTTATTTTATTTTCACAAGGCAAAGATTATCTTGTAAGCTTAAAGTTATACTTTGCTGTTAATTTTAGTTATTTATAATAGATATTTGAAGATGATGTTTATGGTGACATCACTATTGACGATCCATTGATTTTAAAAATTGTCCAAACATGTCAATTTCAAAGACTGAAAGATATCAAACAATTAGGTAAACTTTACAATAATTGAGTTATATGAATGGGAATGTAGGTTACATATACCAAAACATGCAAAAGTCAACCTATTCAAGACTTCAACATAGCATTGGGTAAGATTAACTTTATGGCAGTATACATGCATTATCATGTTGATAGAATGTACTATCTTGCTGGAGAATATGTTAAACAACTTCAACAACGGCAACCTGAGCTGAATATTACTGAGTCTGATGTTTTGTGTGTACAAATTGCTGCTCTTTGTTATAACCTGGGTCATGGTCCTTTCTCTCATACTTTTGGTTTGTTCCTTGATGAAATGTTTAAATATGGAAATAAACCTTGGGAGGTAGATGGTGAAAGTTATAACTTTTACATAATTTTTTTGAATTACAGAAAGTTTCAGAAGCATCTGTTATGATGTTTGATCATATGATTGAAGAGAATGATGAGGTGAAAGTTTTACTGGTGAAGTTTCTGGACAATTATGAAGAAGACATTGCATTTATTAAAGAACTTATACATGGAACCTATAATGTATGTAAAATTTATCATAATTAGCAGAACAGTAGTGACACTGAATATGGGTGTCTCTGGCATTTAGTATCAGGAGCTTATGGGCATATAAGTATAGGTTATACTCTAACATGTTGCATATACCAGTTTATTTTTAAAGTAAAAATTTTGTATTTTTTGCTCTGTCGGAAAAATTAAAATCACGAAATTTTTCATTTCTATTGCCATGTGGTGCAGTTTGCAAGCTATTT